GTTTGAATATTAAAACACTTAGATCTGATAATGCAGCTGAGTATACTTCTCATAGATTCCAACAGTTTTTGCAGCAACATGGAATTCATCATCAGCTCACAATTCCTTACACACCTCAACAAAAATGGTGTGAGTGAAAGGAAAAACAGATCTATTTTGAATATGGCCAGGTGTTTGCTATTTGAGAAGAACTTGCCCAAGAATTTTTGGGCTGAAGCAGTTTACACTTCTGTGCATTTGCAGAACAGATTGCCAACAAAAGCTATTGAAGGCAAAACTCCTTTTGAAGCTTGGTCAGGGAACAAACCTGCTGTAGATCATTTGAAAGTTTTTGGTTGCATTTGCTATGTATTTATACTAGATGAAAAGAGAGGCAAGTTGGATGAAAGGGCAAATACTTGTGTTTTTATTGGTTATAGCCTACAGTCTAAAGGTTATAGAGTTTTCAACCTTAAGACTCAAAAGATTGAAGTTTGTAGAAGTGCTAAGTTTGATGAAAGTGCAGCATGGGATTGGGAAAAATCCCAAGTTAAAAACTCAGATCAGGTTGCTAAATTGAATGACAAACCAGAACTTGAAGTAGATTTTGATGATGCAGCTAATGAATCAGATTTAATTGATGATGCACCAGTGAGAGGAACTAGAACCCTGGAAGACATTTATAGTAGATGCTATGTCAAACTGCATGCCAGTTAGTACTCCTTCTGTGTCAGGAGTTAAATACAAAGCCATTGATGGTTCAACAAATGTTGATGCAGGGGTATATAGAAGTATGATTGGCAGCCTTCTATATTTATCTGCACCTGATATAATGCATGCTGTTAGTTTGCTTTCAAGGTTTATGCATTCACCTACTGAAGTTCATCTCAAGGGTGTTAAAAGAATATTCAGATATTTGAAGGCAACTGCTGGTTTTGGTGTTTTCTATCCTAGAGCTGAGAAAATTAAGTTACTTGGCTTTTGTGACAGTGATTGGGCAGGGTCTGAGGATGATATGAAAAGCACTACTGGTTTTTGTTTCACTCTCGGATCAGGTGTTATAAGCTGGTGTTCTCAAAAGCAAGATGCACTTGCACATTCCATTGCAGAAGCTGAATATATAGCTGCTGCAATTGCTGTGGATCAGGCTATTTGGTTAAGGAAATTGTTGGTTGATGTTCATCATGCTCAATCCAATCCTACTGAAATGTTGTGTGATAGCAAAGTTGCAGTTGCTATTGCTAAAAATCCAGTCTTTCATGGAAAGACAAAACATTTAAAATTGAAGTATCATATTGTTAGAGTTGCAGAAAATGATGGTGATATTGTTATGGTGCACTGTTCCTCTGAAGAAAATGTTGCTGATATTTTCACTAAGGGCTTACAGAAGATCAGATTTGAAGCTCCTAGAAACAAGCTTGGCGTTTGCAGCCTGGATGCCAAGGAGGAGTGTTGAATGAAGTTCAGATTTTTGTAGTTTTCGAAGCACTGTGCCATCACATGCTGCAACAATTCAGTGTCTGATTTTTTTATGTAATTTAACCTTTGGTTAGGTAGCTTTTTGTTAACCTTCTGTCAGTATAGACACTTGAGTAGGGGCTAAAATTAAGCTACTTATAGTTTGGTAAACTACTCTTCCCCTTTCCTGAAAGCTAGTGTTTATTTTGTATAAAAGGAGAAATCAATGATCATTTTCTGTGTTCTGCTCATTTTTCTCTCTGTTTTTTTTCTCTCCATTTTTCCTTTGAGCAAAAACGTTACACAGTTAAATGAAGAGATAATTTTGGTTGAGAAAAAGGTACAAAGCAAAAATCTAAATATGATCATGTACTTTCTCCTCCCTTTAAAGTGATGGTTTTTAGTTAGTTGTAGATGTCTTACGGACAAAATTTTTATATAGTGAAAAATTCAGCTAAGATTGACAAAGTTGTATTCCAATTATTTAGTATTTCTTTAGTCAATTTTTCTTCCAAACAGAAGTTGGAGTGCTCTGATACCCATTCAATTGCTTTACTCTTCCAAGAGCAGGTTCTCCTTGAGCAGCCTAAA